TGTGCTTCTTCCATGTGAACTTTGTTGTTTCTCAGTTAGATGGCCTCTTGTTTATCTTCCAGCATGTGGGACCCCAGATTCTTTGTAATTTGACAGCTTGGCACCATCATCTTTCTTCACCACATTTGCTTAGGTACCCACTTTGTTTTCAGCATTCGTGTCGGGGTAGTCTGTTGTGCTTCTTCCTTGTGGGTTTTGTTGTTTCTTAGCTAGATGGCCACCTGTTTGTCTTCAAGCCTTTAAGACCCCAGATGCTGTATCATTTGATAGCCGGGCACCATCTGCTTTCTTCACCACTTTTGCTAATGCACCCCCTTTGCCCTCAGTGATCGAGTAGGGGCAGGCTGGTGTGCTTCTTCCATGTGGGTTTTCTTGCCTCTCAGCTAGCTGGCTGCTTGTTTATCTCCAGGTCTTTAAGGCTTCAGGTGCTATATCTTTTGGTAGCTGGGCATCATCAGCTTTCTTCACCACACTTGCTTGTGCACCCGTTGTCTTCAGTGCCTTCAGGTGTTTTATCTTTTGGTAGCCAAGCATCCACTTTCTTCACCACATTTTCTTGTGCACCCATTGTCTCCAGCGATCATGCCAGGCAGGTGAGCATCTCAGACTGCTGAATTGCTAAGATGTATTTTTGTAAAACTTTTTTTTGAGATTATTTTTTCAGATGTCATGGTTTATAAATAAGTTTATTAATTACATTATATGAGTAAGTCTGTGATAACTTGAAGGTTACATATTTCAAGATTGTGGAATCAGGAATTCTAGATACATTTACTGTTTTAAAATAAAGTGTGGAGCTCTTCTATCCATGATTGCACCAATAATTATGTTAATGAATATATTATTAATAAAAATTATTATCTCATCTCTTTATTGTAAAGGAAGTAATTATGCTTTAATATAACATCGCATATACATATAGGGCTATAACAAGACAGTAGCATTTTTGTATATAAAATACATAGATATAAAAATAAGAAAATTAGTTAAATAATTAATCATAATAAGATGCTATAAAAATTTCTTAGGTGAAAGTCACATACCTGTCCGACAGGGCAAGATATGACAACATAATAATTTATAAATTATCAAGGGCTCATGAGGCAGGGGGGAGTGGGGAGGAAGGGGGAAATGAGGAGCTGATGCCAGGGGCTTAAGTGGAGAGCAAATGTTTTGAGAATGATGAGGACAATGAATGTACAAGTGTACTTTACACAATTGATGTATGTATGGATTGTGATAAGAGTTGTATAAGCCCCTAATAAAATGATTTTTTAAAAAGTCACATACCTTAATAAGGTTTTAATTTTAAAACACATATGTACATTAGTTTTTTTTCAACCTATCTAATAAATAAAACCATCAGAATATTAATAGCTTGATTAATTTTGAAGACATGTGGTTAGCCAAAAATGAATTAGTACACACTGAACAGCAAGGAGTGTAATCTGCTGTGTCTGTGTGCTGTAAAAACTCAAAAGAGAACATTCCTTTTAACCTGATGATGACAAGAAAGCCAGGGAAGTGGTGAACAGCAGAGAATTTTTCAGTGACCCTAACGAGACCAGTCCAATCTCCCATGGCTTACAGGGTTAGCAGTTTTTCTGTCAAGCAGCAAGAAACCTGTAAAGGTCCTTTGGTGCTCAAGTACCAAGTGCTGGTGAAAAGAATGTAGTGCACTGTTCTTGAACTCAGTCACACCACAGTTGTCGCCTAGTCAACATCTAGTACAACAGCAGATAGAGCGTTTATATTGACCTACTGACCCGTTACCGTTTTAACAAACAAGTGTTATCTTCTGGGGCTAATATTATTTACTTCATGCTCCATTTACTTATTGTCCACTGTAAAATGGAAGCCTTGAAGAGTAAACTATCCTTAAGATTGCAGCCATGAACAGGAGAAAACACAGGTCTAAGTGGGTGGTCACCTTATGAAACAGACTTTTATATAGCTACAGAAATATATGAAAATATCTAGCAGAAAAGAAAATAACATGAATGTGCCCACTCAAATTGAAGCAGAAAAGGGTTACCTCTAAAAAATTAAACTGAATTAAAAGCCAAATAGAACCTTTATGTTAAGAAAAGTTGTTCACCTTGGACTATGAGAAGAATGGGCACAGAGGGTATGAGAAAACTTAAATAGAGACATACAGTGACTTAAGCCGGTGTGTACCAAAGAGGCAATCCCTTTCCCTGGAGGGCCCTAGAATGATCGGGGACTGCAGACGCAGATACTTAACCCTTTATCCTGGATAATGGGCTATCGGACAAATGTCTTTCATTGCCAGGAGGTTGCTGAGTAATTTTTAAAACTTTTCTGAAAAGGAAGTGATGGGCCAAATAATTTTTGGAAACTATTGTTCTTTATTTTCTCTACATGTGAAGAATCTAAACTGAAATGCATAGAAAAAATAAAGTAAAATAACTATAAATATATAAATTCTTTATAAATATCTAGTTTTAAGTCTGTGGGGCATTATAAAAACTCATAAATGTAAATTAATGTTAGCAAAGTGATTGAACTAGAAAACTAGATGTTAAAGAAATAATATTATATCAAACTGGTATGCTAGTAACTGACATTATCAAGACCGCCATTGAATCAAATCTCACATTTAGCAACCCTATAGGACAGAGTAGAACCCACAGGTTTTCCAAGACCGCCGTCTTTATGGAAGCAGACTGCCTACCTAACCTTATTCCTACAGTTGGTCCGTTCTAACTATCAACTTTCAGTTAGCAGGCCATCCTTCACCACTTTGTCACCAGAATACTTTGAAAACTCTGTACTGGAAAGGAAAAAAATAGGATGAGAAAAAGAAAAACCACACACATAAAGACAACGTTTTTGTTAATGCCATCCTATATGATAGCGTAATACTGCCTCATAAGCATAACTCTGACAGAAGTTGTGAAATGTGGTTTTGCCATGGAACACATGAATAAATAAGGGGACTTGTTATATCGATGGACTGCAGGGCTCAGCATTACGATGACAGCCATTTTTCCCAAATGGACTGTAGATGGAAAGACATCCCAAAGAAAATTCCAGAAGATATTTTATAGCAATTTTATATTGTTATGCAAATGTATATGAAAACTCAAAAAATACAAAACTATTTTGAAAAAAAATGACAGAAAATATAGTTAACCTACAACCTTCAGGAATCAATTAAATAATTATTACTACAAAGATATGTAAAGATCATTGAATAAAAACTTAGGTTACCAAAAGGAAAGCTGCACATAAATGATCAATCAATTTTGAACTAATGTACCAGTTCAACTTAATGAGAACTGGAAAACATTTGGTTCTGAAAGAGAATGGGGGTGGAATACACAAGCATGCTGATCCTTGACCTAGTCCTAGATGCCTATGTACAGAACTCAGGATGAAACACTTGTAGGACAGTCTCAGTAGTGATGTAGACAGAGATAAAGTACAACAGGAAAATTAAAAATGAGTAAAAAATAGAATTATATAAAATTCTGTTCATAAAAATAGATATTTCTAAGGACATTATCGGCAAATAGCGCACTAGATTATGCTTGGATGATAGATAGCTTGTGTACCTCTAATAGAATGCTTCAGTTTTATACTAAGTTAAGCATAGTTGAGTTACATAAGTCAGAAATGATGCTCCTAATTATTTTCTAAAGGGATCTGAGAAAATATACTCACAAAACCATTTGTCTACAAATGGTTATAGGGACCTTATCTACAATAGACCCAAACAGAATACAATTTAATTAACTATGAACAGGAGAACCAGTAATCAAATAAGGATGTATTCACAAAAGGGAGTTCTAGTCAGCGATATGTCCGCAGGAAGAAGCACACTAGCCTGTGTGCTCAAGGATTGTAAATAAAATATGATTGGAGGAGGGACCGGTGTTAGAGCTTAAATCCTGAGCACCTGGTTTGCAGAAGGGCACGGATGACAGTGAAAGCCCCAAATCCATTTTCAGGGTGCCCAATCGGATTAAGCCGCGGAGGGAGAACTCTCTCTGCGCACA